GGGACAATGGTGAAGCATGACTTTAGTTGCTAGCTCCATGACTTCAGAGGGCATAATCATTCTTTTTTAGCCTCCCTGCGATGAAATAGATACACAGACAGACGTTTATGTGAGACCAGACAGACAGACCCTACTGCACAAAAATATTATTCTTTTTAGTACTTTAAAAAAATCCAACACATCTTTAAAAGGCCTCGGCTCTTTATTAGTATGTTTCCATTTGGCACGCGAGAGAAACTGTTCTTTTATCGGGGCCATCTTTTATTGTGCATTACCTTTTGATTTGCGGGGAAATTGTTATTTTAGCAGGCAAGCATTTAAATATGTCTCAGTATATTTGGTTTGGCTCGGGGAGCATGGAAAATATATTCTTTTAACAAGCGTTCATTTAACAGTGGGTTTCCATAAAGCCAAATTGTCTGCAACTCAATTTTTATGCAATCCCATCTGTATTCTCTGTAATAACTCTTTCCAAATCCCAAACCCACCTAATACTGTTCCAGTGCTTTCTGGATGGCCTGCCAGGCCAGAATTGTATGCGACTCTTTTTACTGTGCAGCAGAAATAGCAATATTTATCATTACCATGCAGTGCTGTCGGCTTTGGCCTTCCCACCCTGCCCTCCACTCCGGAGCCTGACTCACATAGTGGATGCCACTTGAAATTAACACGCATTAGAGCTCATTTCTGCAGCCCCTCTTCTGACACAGCTGCAGCTGTTCATTACCTGCATGCAATCAAATCCCTTTTAGCACATGTTTGGTGCTCAGTTTGTTGTTTCTTTCCCATTCGTGTGACTAATAACATGGCAGGGGCTGTTTTGTACTAGGGCTGCGGATGAATCGTGGTTAACTTAAGCAATTCACTCAAAAATGTAATTGCCATTGAAAACAATTAATCGTTGTTTTAATTGCGCTGTTCAACAATAGAATACCAACTGAAAGCTATTAAATAGTTTGGGTGTTTTTCTACATTTTCAAATGTATCGATTTTAGTTACAACACAGAACACAAAGTGCTCACTTTATATTATTTTTATTACAAATATTTTCACAGCAAAAATGATAAAAGAAATCATATTTTTCATCACCCACAAGTATCACAAATATTTTCACAGCAAAAATGATAAACAAAAGAAATCATATTTTTCACCACCCACAAGTATCGTAGTGCAATCTCTTAATTGTGAAAGTGCCATTTTTACAAACACAGATTAATTTTGTGACATAACTGCACTCAAAACCAAAACAATGTAAAACTGTAGAGCCTACAAATCCACTCAGTCCTACTTCTTGTTCAGCCAATGGCTCAGACAAAGAAGTTTGTTTACATTGATGGGAGGTAATGCTGCCTGCTGCTTATTTACAATTGTCTCTCCCCCACCATGCCTTCTGAGAATTGGCTTATGAATATGCTTAACTCAAAGGGTATGTCTACACTAGCCACCCTAGTTCGAATTAGGGTAGCTAATGTAGTCATTCGAACTTGCAAATGAAGCCCGGGATTTAAATATCCCGGGCTTCATTTGCAAGTTCCCGGGTGCCACCATTTTTAAATGCCCAGTAGTTCAGACTCCCTGCCCGCGGCTACACGCAGCACTGGCTAGGTAATTCGAATTAAAGCCCCTAATTCGGACTACCATTAACCTCCTGGGTAACGGTATTAGGGGCTTTAGTTCGAACTACCTAGCCTGTGCCACGTATAGCCACGGGCAGGGAGTCCGAACTACGGGCATTTAAAAATGGCGACGCCCGGGAACATGCAAATGAAGCCTGGGATATTTAAATCCCGGGCTTCATTTGCAAGTTTGAATGACTACGTTAGCCACCCTAGTCCGAACTAGGGTGGCTAGTGTAGACATACCCAAAGATACTTCATGCAAAACAGGTCATGTAGCATCCATTTTACAGTTACGGTCCACTGAACTGTATAGCCTATTTTTGTGCATGTGTCATTCAGTGGCCAAGCCATCATGGGACAGACGGGTGGGCCCCAACTTTGGGTGAGTGGGCAATGACTGGGGGTAGCAGCCATGGGGCCACCTCTCCCCCTCCCCCAGCCAGCTTTGGAAGGGGGCAGGATAGATGCTTTGGCCACAATCCCTATAAAAATCTGTGTCCTACACCCCCCCAGCCACTTCACTTTCCCTCACTCCCCTGCCAGGAATGGGGGAGTGGGGGCATGGACTTGCCTACTGTTCCAGGGGAGTGGGGATAGGGGCTTGCCCTGCTCTGCCAACCAGTGCTCCCAGCAAGGGTGTCAGGTTGGGGCATGGAGGCTCACTGCTCCCTGTCAGGCAGGCCAGACAGCAGAACAGGGCAAGCCCCTGCATTGTGGCCGCACTCCGTGCTGGGAGCACCAGGCGGCAGAGTGGGGCTAGCCCCTGACCCCAGTCCCCTGGCTCAACTGGAGCACTGGGCAGAGAGGGACAGACCCCTAGCCCCGTAGGAAGCAGAGGCAGCACAGAAAGCAGGAGGGCCTGGCTTCTAAGTGAGTGGGCCCAGGCCCACTTTGAGTTACCAGGTGTCTGGTATTGGCCTGGATAGTCAAAAAAAAAAAAATACAGAAAATTGTCCGTTATTTTCTGTTTTTCTCAGATGGAAGGCCGCTTGGGACATTCTTCCCCTGCTGCATCTGGCAGGGGCCAGGGGAGCGGGGACCATGGGGATTCAAAGGTGCAGGCGAAGTGCCTTTTTTTTTTTTTTTTTTTTGGGGGGGGGTTTTTTTGTGGGGGGGGACTATTCTTGTGTGCAAAAGTAGAAATATGAAGTGTGGGTCTGTTTATAGAGTCTAATGATTCACCACTGGTGAATACTCTTGTTTGTCCTATATGCCCAAATGATGATTGGGCCTAGAAAGACATGTGACCCTGCCACTTGGTACTGGAATCCATCTTGAATGTGGTACTTTTCCATGAGGGGGCGCTATCAAAGGGTTCCCATTCTTGTGTGCAAAAGTAGAAATATGAAGTGTGGGTCTGTTTATAGAGTCTAATGATTCACCACTGGTGAATACTCTTGTTTGTCCTATATGCCCAAATGATGATTGGGCCTAGAAAGACATGTGACCCTGCCACTTGGTACTGGAATCCATCTTGAATGTGGTACTTTTCCATGAGGGGGCGCTATCAAAGGGTTCCCGCCCTGGGGGAAAGTCTATTTAAGCAATAAGAAGCAATCAGGCTTTGTCTCCAACTGGCCCTTTGAAACTGCATGGTTCACCCTAAGACGATACAAAGAACTTAAGGCTCCGTAGACCCAAGTCAGAGTAAAATATCAACTGATCTGAAGCTTTTATCTGAGATAAGAACAGCTGTTTAGGGCAAAAATTGGCATGTAACATGTTTCTTAGTGGATCAGAACTAGCTAAGCGTTTTTTGTTCATTTTAATTTGGTAATTTACTTTGATCTGATGGTTTTCACTTGAAATCACTTAAATCCTACAATTTGTACTTAATAAAAACACTTGTTTATTATCAAGCCCAGTGTAAATAATTGTTACGGGGGCGGGGGGCAGCTCCTCTGCATCTCTTTCTTTCATTAATAAATGGGTCGACCTGACCTTATTCGCTTTCTCTGTGTGAAACTTTTACAGAGAATAAGACAGATTATTTGGGAGTTTGGTCCAATTTGGGGGTTGGTTTTCTGGCGCGGTCTATGCAGCACTTATTTCAAAATGACGCGCTGTTCCAAAAAGCGAAGTGACTCACCTCGGTGTAGTAACTGTCGTTCTTCGAGATGTGTGTCCCCATGGATGCTCCACTGTAGGTGCTGGGCTTGCCCTGGCACCACAGAATGGAGATTTTTCTCATAGCAGTACCTGGCTGGACCTCACATGCACAATGGCGTCTCGCGGCATTCGTGCTCTTTTTTGTGAGGCCCCCACCAGTTCCTTGAGGCCGCCTCAGAATCCGGAAGACAGAAACAAAGAAAGACTCCGAAGCAGGGAGGTAGTGGAGCACCCACGGGGGGGGGGGGGGGGGGGGGACACACATCTCAAAGAATGACAGTTACTGCACCGAGGTGAGTAACTTTGCTTTCTTCTTCGAGTGATGTCCCCGTGGGTGCTCCACTGTAGGTGACTGAGCAGCAGTACTCCACTGAGCAGGAAGGAGGGAAAAGTGGAGTCCCTATTTATCTGCTGAAGAGAGCACTGCTGATGCCACCGCAGTATCTGAACGCCTCCCCTGATGTATAGCATAATGTTTTATAAAGGTGTCATGTGAGGACCAGGTGGCTGCTCTGCATATGCCTTTAAGGGGAACACCCTTGAGGAAGGCCATTGAAGCTGCCATTGCTCTTGTGGAACGGTCTCGAGGTTGTCAGAAACAGAATACGCTTGGAGGCATAGGCCTCAGTTATACAGGTGGTTATGAGTTTTGAGATGCGCTGGGATGTTATCGGGTGTCCTTTCGATCTCTCGGCCAGAGACACAGTCAGTTGGGCAGTTCTTCTGAAAGATCTTGTGCGTTCTATGTAAAAAGCAAGAGCTCGTCGAATGTCAAGTGTATGGAGGGCCGCTTCTCATGGGGAGGCATGAGGTTTCGGGTGAAAAGATGCAAGGACAATTGGTTCATTCACATGAAAGTTTGATGATACTGTCGGGATAAATGTTGGGTGAAGTCTTCGGACTATGCTATCCTTATTGAAGATGGCATATAGGGGTGTTGCCATAAGAGCTGATAACTCACCAACTCTACATGCTGACGTAATGGCAAGAAGAAAAACTACCTTCATGGTTAATGTCTGAAGAAGTATGGTAGCGAGTGGCTCAAATGAGTTAAAGCTTCGAGTACAACATCTAAGTTCCACACTGGAGGAATGGGTTTATGGGGAGGGCTTAAGTTCGTAAGGCCCTCCATGAATTACTCCATGATTACTCCATGAATCTTTTTGTGGTTGGGTGGGCAAAGAGGGAGGTGCCCACAATATGTTGTCTGAATGCTGAAATGGCCGCTAGATGAACTCTGAGAGAGGCTAATGACAGTCCTGTGTGTTTTAGGTGAAGCAAGTAATCGAGGATAACGTGAAGTGGAGTCGATTCGGGAAGCTCTTGCTGTGTGGCACACCAGGAGATGAACCTGCGCCATTTTGAAAGGTAAGTGGTTCTGGTTGTTTGTCATCTACTGTGGATGAGAATGTGTTTGACTTGTGTGGAGCAAAGGGATTTAGAAGGATTCAGCCAGTGAGGTTCAGCATGTGAATCTGGGGGTGTCGTAATGAGCTTTGGTTCTGTGTGAGGAGGTTCGGGAGGGCTGGAAGTAGAAACAGTCTGCATGGTGAGATGTCTCGGAGGAAGGGGAACCAGTGCTGATGTGCCCATGCTAGGGCTATCAGTATGACCATGGCCTTGTTCGTTCTCATATTCTGCAGAACTATGGGGATGAGAACTGTCGATGGGAAGGCATATAGGACAGGTCCGTTCCAGTTGGTGAGGAATGTGTCCTCTAGAGAGTCCAGACTGAGTCCTGCTCTGGAGGCAACCCTACCCACTTGTGGCTATGGCTCTGGTACTATTCTTGTGTGCAAAAGGAGAACTATGAAGTGTGGGTCTGTTTATAGAGTCTAATGATTCACCACTGGTGAATACTCTTGTTTGTCCTATATGCCCAAATGGTGATTGGGCCTAGAAAGACATGTGACCCTGCCACTTGGTACTGGAATCCATCTTGAATGTGGTACTTTTCCATGAGGGGGCGCTATCAAAGGGTTCCCGCCCTGGGGGAAAGTCTATTTAAGCAATAAGAAGCAATCAGGCTTTGTCTCCAACTGGCCCTTTGAAACTGCATGGTTCACCCTAAGACGATACAAAGAACTTAAGGCTCCGTAGACCCAAGTCAGAGTAAAATATCAACTGATCTGAAGCTTTTATCTGAGATAAGAACAGCTGTTTAGGGCAAAAATTGGCATGTAACATGTTTCTTAGTGGATCAGAACTAGCTAAGCGTTTTTTGTTCATTTTAATTTGGTAATTTACTTTGATCTGATGGTTTTCACTTGAAATCACTTAAATCCTACAATTTGTACTTAATAAAAACACTTGTTTATTATCAAGCCCAGTGTAAATAATTGTTACGGGGGCGGGGAGCAACTCCTGTGCATCTCTTTCTTTCATTAATAAATGGGTCGACCTGACCTTATTCGCTTTCTCTGTGTGAAACTTTTACAGAGAATAAGACAGATTATTTGGGAGTTTGGTCCAATTTGGGGGTTGGTTTTCTGGCGCGGTCTATGCAGCACTTATTTCAAAATGACGCGCTGTTCCAAAAAGCGAAGTGACTCACCTTGGTGTAGTAACTGTCGTTCTTCGAGATGTGTGTCCCCATGGATGCTCCACTGTAGGTGCTGGGCTTGCCCTGGCACCACAGAATGGAGATTTTTCTCATAGCAGTACCCGGCTGGACCTCTCATGCACTATGGCGTCTCGTGGCATTCGTGCTCTTTTTTGTGAGTGTGCGGTCCGGCTCCCGCCAGTTCCTTGAGTCCGCCTCGGAATCTGGAAGACCTAAAGGAGAAGGACTCTGAAGCGGGGAGGAAGGCAGATAATGCTCAGTGGAGTACCCCGGGGACACACATCTCAAAGAATGACAGTTACTGCACCGAGGTGAGTAACTTTGCTTTCTTCTTCGAGTGATGTCCCCGTGGGTGCTCCACTGTAGGTGACTGAGCAGCAGTACTCCACTGAGCAGGAAGGAGGGAAAAGTGGAGTCCCTATTTATCTGCTGAAGAGAGCACTGCTGATGCCACCGCAGTATCTGAACGCCTCCCCTGATGTATAGCATAATGTTTTATAAAGGTGTCATGTGAGGACCAGGTGGCTGCTCTGCATATGCCTTTAAGGGGAACACCCTTGAGGAAGGCCATTGAAACTGCCATTGCTCTTGTGGAACGGTCTCGAGGTTGTCAGAAACAGAATACGCTTGGAGGCATAGGCCTCAGTTATACAGGTGGTTATGAGTTTTGAGATGCGCTGGGATGTTATCGGGTGTCCTTTCGATCTCTCGGCCAGAGACACAGTCAGTTGGGCAGTTCTTCTGAAAGATCTTGTGCGTTCTATGTAAAAAGCAAGAGCTCGTCGAATGTCAAGTGTATGGAGGGCCGCTTCTCATGGGGAGGCATGAGGTTTCGGGTGAAAAGATGCAAGGACAATTGGTTCATTCACATGAAAGTTTGATGATACTGTCGGGATAAATGTTGGGTGAAGTCTTCGGTGGTTATGAGTTTTGAGATGCGCTGGGATGTTATCGGACTATGCTATCCTTATTGAAGATGGCATATAGGGGTGTTGCCATAAGAGCTGATAACTCACCAACTCTACATGCTGACGTAATGGCAAGAAGAAAAACTACCTTCATGGTTAATGTCTGAAGCAGTATGGTAGCGAGTGGCTCAAATGAGTTAAAGCTTCGAGTACAACATCTAAGTTCCACACTGGAGGAATGGGTTTATGGGGAGGGCTTAAGTTCGTAAGGCCCTCCATGAATTACTCCATGATTACTCCATGAATCTTTTTGTGGTTGGGTGGGCAAAGAGGGAGGTGCCCACAATATGTTGTCTGAATGCTGAAATGGCCGCTAGATGAACTCTGAGAGAGGCTAATGACAGTCCTGTGTGTTTTAGGTGAAGCAAGTAATCGAGGATAACGTGAAGTGGAGTCGATTCGGGAAGCTCTTGCTGTGTGGCACACCAGGAAATGAACCTGCGCCATTTTGAAAGGTAAGTGGTTCTGGTTGTTTGTCGTCTACTGTGGATGAGAATGTGTTTGACTTGTGTGGAGCAAAGGGATTTAGAAGGATTCAGCCAGTGAGGTTCAGCATGTGAATCTGGGGGTGTCGTAATGAGCTTTGGTTCTGTGTGAGGAGGTTCGGGAGGGCTGGAAGTAGAAACAGTCTGCATGGTGAGATGTTTCGGAGGAAGGGGATCCAGTGCTGATGTGCCCATTTTGCTGCATGGTGAGATGTCTCGGAGGAAGGGGAACCAGTGCTGATGTGCCCATGCTAGGGCTATCAGTATGACCATGGCCTTGTTCATTCTCATCTTCTGCAGAACTATGGGGATGAGAACAGTCGATGGGAAGGCATATAGGAGAGGTCCGTTCCAGTTGGTGAGGAATGTGTCCTCTAGAGAGTCCAGACTGAGTCCTGCTCTGGAGCAGTACTTCTGACATTTTTTGTTGTGACAAGTGGCAAAGAGCTCTATTAGGGGAGTGCCCCTGTCTGACATTTTTTGTTGTGACAAGTGGCAAAGAGCTCTATTAGTGGAGTGCCCCGGCATTGTAAGAGAATATGGAGGACCCCATCGTGTAGTTCCCACTCATGATCTGGGACGAGGTGTCTGCTGAAAAAATCCACTGCAACGTTTGTAGTTTCAAGTAAAGTAGGATGCCACAGGTGTTATGGCGAATGCACCAGTTCCAAAACCGGATTGCCTCTGCACAAAGGGAGCAGGATCATGCACCAGTTCCAAAACCGGATTGCCTTTGCACAAAGGGAGCAGGATTGAGCTCCACCTTGATGGTTCACATAATACATTGCCACAACATTGTCCGTGAGGATTCTCACTGTGGTATTGCAGATGCGTTCATGGAAGTATCTGCACATGTTGAAAATCACCCAGAGCTCCAGACGGTTTATGTGGAGTCGTGTCTCTGATGGTGACCATTGGCCCTTCGTGGACATGGTGCCCATATGTGCGCCCCGTCCTAGGAGGGAGGCGTCGGTGGTGATGTGCTGCGAGGGTTGCTGTTAGTGAAAGGGTACACTGGTAAGAAGGTTTGTGTGATTCGTCTACCAGCAGAGAGACTGAAGGACAGATTGCGGAGGGGTCACTGGCCTGTAAAGGTCGCGTTTCATGTGATTGTATGCAAGTGATAGCCAACACTGGAGGGTGCAGAAATGTAGTCTGGGGTAGCGTACCACGTAAGTAGTGGTGTGACCCATGAGCTTTAGACAAATGATTGTCTGAACAGTTGGGCTGCCTCGAATGATTTGTATCAGTTCTTGAATGGTGTGGAATCTTTGGAAGGGTAAGTATGCCCTGGCGGTGTTTGCATGTAGCTGGGCACCAGTGAATTCCAGCTCTTGAGTAGGGTGAAAAGTGGACTTTTGGTCGTTGATAAGAAGTCCGAGGGTGTGGAAGGTTTTCATGGTGGTGAAGACCATATTGAGTACTTTGGTACGAGTGTAACCCTTGAGTAAACAATTGTCCAGATAAGGAAATATGATTACTCCTTGTTGGCAGAGGTGTGCCACTACTACCACCAGGATTTTTGAGAATACCCTGGGGGCGGACGAGAGGCCAAATGGTAGGACTTTGTACTGATAATGATCCCTACTAACTGTAAATCGTAGGAATTGTCTGTGTGCTGGATGGATTGAAACATGAAAATACGCGTCCTGGAGTTTGAGGGCAGCAAACCAGTTGTCGCAATCCAACATGAGCATTATAGCAGCAAGTGTCAGCATCTTGAATCATTGTTTTTGTAGAAATCTGTTCAAACAGAAGAGATCTAGTATTGGTCGCCATCCCCCCGACGTTTTTTTGAGTGAGGAAATAATGGGAGTAAAAGCCCTTTCCCTTGAACTCGTCCGGGACTGGTTCTACCACCCCTAAGGAGTGCAGATGGTTGACTTCGATGCATAGCAGGGCTTCATGAGATGGGTCTCTGAAGAGGGACCGGATGCAGGGTGTATTGAGAATACCCTGGGGGTGGACGAGAGGCATGAAGAGGGACGGGATGCAGGGGGTAGTGGGAGGAATGGCGAGGAAGGGAATGGAATATTCTGACTGAACTATTTCCAACACCCACTCTTCTACGGTGATTGTGGCCCATTGGTGATGAAACGGACTTAAACGTTGGTGAAAGAGGAGGATGTGGTGACCCTGCTGCTGTAGGAGACTGTCTGCGTACCCCTGACCAAGACATCAAACCTGTTCTTAGTTGTTGCTGCCATTGTTGTCTGACATATGGATCATACCATAGTTGGTAAGGAGTATATCGACATCTCCTCTATGGCGGGGGATGCATACCCAATGTTCAAAGGGTTGTGCGCGAGTCCTTGGAAGAATGTAATACGCTATCAGTCTTTCCAGCAAACAGTTTGTCCCTGTCAAATGGTAAGTCTTCAACTTTATTTTGTAGGTACTTTGGGACTCCCACTGCTTGAAAGTAAGATGCTCGCCTCATGACTACCACCGGGGCCGTGGAATGGGCTGCTGTATCCGCCACATTCATTGCTATCTGGAGGGCCATTCTCACCGATGTATAGCCCTCCTGCACAACCGATTTTAGTATGGGCCTTTTAGACTCTGGCAGGTGATCCAACAGTGGCGTCAGCTTTGTAAATGTATCGAATATGTGATTAGAGAGATGTGAAGTGTAATTGGCAATTCTGAGCATAAGTATTGTGGATGTGTAGACTTTTCTGCCCAATAAATCAAGTCTTTGTCTGGAGGCATGTTTGTATTGCAGTATTTTTCATCTTTGATGGGCCGCGTCCACTACTAAAGAGTTGGGCTGGGGATGGGTGAAAAGGAATTCCATACCCTTGGGAGGTACAAAATACTTTCTGTCAGCTCTTTTGCTGGTCGGTGGTGCAGAGGCTGGGGTTTGCCAGTTTTCCTCAGAGACCTCCCAGATAGCTTTGTCTAGAGGGATAGCTAGCCTTGATTTATACTGTGGCTGGAGATTTTTAAGAAGACAATGCTTTTTGTCCTTTATTTCATCCAGCGGTATCTCTTAGCTAACCACCACTCATTTGAAGAGTTCTTGGAACAGCTGGAGGTCGTCTGGTGGGGAAATGTCCCCAGGAATGACGGCTTCATCTGGGGAAGGAGAGTGGTCAGTAGGAGACACCTCTGGTGGGTGTTCCTCAGTGGAAAAGTGGGTGTCATCTGGCTCTGATGAGAGTTGAGGTGGAGATGTCGGTTGCCCTGTTGGAGTAGGAGGAGCTGGAGTCGGTGAGTATCTAGAAGATGCGCAGTCACAATATGACCTTCCATGCGATCTAGACCTATATTGGTATGAGTGAGTACCTATTATGTGAATCATGGTGGTAACGGTCGTCACGGTGGTAAAGTCTATCCAGTGGTGAAGGCCTGTCAGAGTAGGTAGATCGGACGTGTTCCCAATGATGAATGTGTGGTGAGTGGGGAGAACAGGAGCGGGTGTAGGAGGCTCTAGAGGACGCCGGAGAGGCAGAAGAGTGATGGTAGTGGTGTTGCTGGTGGTCCCTGTATGATGCTAGGAAGGGGGATGGTAGCTGCTGATGAGGAAAGTATGGTGATCGGTGGCGGTGACTGTAGTAAGATCTCGGGAAGGGCGGTGCCGGCAGGGAAGGCGATGGTGCCGGTGAGAATACCAGAGATCGGGAACAACTTCAGCGTGGAGGAGTGTTTGGTGCTGAGGTGTGTGGCTCGGTGCCAATGGTGTGCAGAGTCGGTGCCACTGGTGTTGGTGCCAACTCTCTCAGTGTCGCATGCCAATCTGAAGCAGTATTGTTCGCTGGTGTCAATGATGCCCTCGGTACCGAGGTGTCTGTCAGTGCCAGAGGTCTGGTAGCGGGCAGTGCCAAGACAACCCTCGGTGCCGCAGTAGGTGCCTCTTCTGCCGGTTTCTTTGTTTTCAGTGCCACGGACATCTTTAAACGTGGCTTCGCGGTGCCTGAAGTGCCGGGTTTATCCCCCGTGCTAACTCTGCCATGAGAGGTGGCCAGTAAAGACCTGGCCGGTGATGCGCGCGGTCTTTTGGGCGAAACGGCTGTAGGAGGCGAAGTCCTACGTTTTGGGGGCTGATCTCCTAAGGCTGACTCCGAGCGTGGTGGCTGGAGGGCTTTATTGAATAGAATCATTTGGAGCCTCATTTTCCTATCCCTTTGGGTCCTTGCAGTCAACTTTGTACAGTGTGGGCACTTCTGGGGAACATGGGCTTCCCCAAGGCAGCAGATACATGAAGAATGCCCATCAGAAGCAGGCATTGCCTCGCGGCAAGTGTCGCATTTTTTAAATCCGGGCAATGACAGCATTTCCAATGTTGTTTTTTTAGATGAACAACGAAAACTATGTCTATCTTATAACATATAACTATGTACAGCAAGTGGGACTGTAGAAAGAAACAGGGGTACGAACAGGAAAGGAGAAACATTGAGGTATTACATTTCTTTCTTTGTTTTAACTAGGAGAAATACTAAGGAGAAGTAAAAACTGGTAAGAATAAGCAAAATGCAGGACAATGTAGCACTTTAAAGACTAACAAGATGGTTTATTAGATGGTAAGAATAGCAAGTTTTAACAAGTTTTAACAACTTTTAACAAGAGGGATCTCACGACAAGGAGGGAGATTGAGGAGAGTAGTTCACTCTGTCTGCAGCCTGAGGCGGTCGAGAGGAACTTGGCGAGGACCGGACCGCTCACTCACACAAAAGAGCACGAACGCCGCAAGACGCCACCCCGCATGTGCGGTCCGATTGGGTACTGCTACGAGAAAAATCTCCATTCTGTGATGCCGGGGCAAGCCCAGCACCTACAGTGGAGCACCCACAGGGACATCACTCGAAGACAAGCATCCCTTATTCCTCGTGGAATGCAGTTTACAGGGATGTCAGAATAGTGAGCCCAAAATAACGGGCTTGTAGTGAAGACACCGGATACTATTTTGGGTATAATGCAGCAGTGTAGATGTAGCCAAAGTGGAACCGTCAAGAGGCGGATTTGAACCTGGGTCCTCTGGAGCTTAACACATGAACCTCTGCAGCTTGAGCTAAAAACCAGTCGGTGCATGGTTTCAGCTGTGGAGCTCACTCATTCTTTTCTCTCGCTGTAAGTGGTCCACATGCCACTGCATGGGATTGTGGACCACACCCAGTAGGTGTCTGGGTTAGAAATGCACTTCAGGGCCGATCCCAGCAGAAGCGCTTGCCTGTTGCGTCAGCACCAAAACAGCTCCACCCCTTCCTACCTCTCATCTCTCCCTTCCTTCTGCACCCCGCCCCCTGCTGCCAGCCAGCCAATCAGCATCTCTGATGCTCCCCCCTCCCACTCTTGACTTTGTGCCTTCCTTCATGCTGCCTGCTGGGCTTGGCACGCCTTCCTCCTTCCAAGGCGCCAAACTTCCTCTCCCTCCTCTTTCAAAGACACCCCATGCATCTGGCTTCCCCTCACTGGCAGTGGCTGCAGATTTCTCTGCCATCCTTTAATTTGTGTATTGCATCCATTCGCTATTAGCTCCCACAGCCTAGATTTCTGGCTCCGTCCCCAGGCCCAGCTGAACTCGACTTAGCACAGGGCCTCATGCAGAGCAGAGTAAAAGGGGCCAGCTTGTCACTGCACCACAGTCCTGGAGCCAGCATGCTGTACTTGCCGTTTCCTTTAATCAGGCAAAACAGCAATGGATTTCAGAAGAATGGCCTTATTGGGTCATACCAAAGGTCCACCTAGCTCAGTGTGTCTTCTGACAGTGGCCAATGCTAGGTGTCCCAGAGGGAATGAACAGAACAAGTGATCATCAATTGATCCATCCCCTGTCAACCATTCCCAGCTTCTGATAAAGGGTAGAGACACCATCCCATCCCATCCCGGCTAATAGCCATTGATGGACCTAACCTCCATGAATTTATCTAGTTCTTTTTTGAACCCTGATATAGTCTTGGCCTTCCCAACATCCTGCGGCAAGGAGTTCCACAGATTGACTGTGTATTGTGTGAAAAGATGCTTCCTTTCATTTGTTTAAAACCTGCTACCTATTAATTTCATTTAAGTTCTAGTTTCACTATTTGCTTGGTTGTTACTGTCTTCTTGCTCCCTGCAATGTTGTGGAAGAGCCTTTCTGTATCCTAGACCAGGATTTAAGATAATCAAGGCACACACCATCCCTGGAGAGTCCATTCCTGGCCTTAAGCAAGATCTGGGGCATGCTAGGACAAGAGTTTCACTCAGGGCACTCTAGCTGGCCAGTACAACGCAGATGGTTCTTTACCATATCACTGAGTCAGTGTATTAACAAACTTCTTGTAGATCCAGGGCACCGGGGTTACCTTAAAAAACCTGAAGAGACTGACCAAAACATTTTGTTTCCCCCAGAGCCTCTTAGTTACTGTTTGTTTTGCAGCCGTGGCTGCGGTTGCTATGCTAGCGCCTTTTGTTGCTAGGGTTTAATTTTTTATTTCTGATTTTTATGTATATGCTGGGAACATGACTGCCGCCTCCGTCCTGCTCATTTTGCAGGCCTGGTTCTTCCAGGGACTGTGGCTTCCCAATTTTCACCCCATCTCATCCTCAGCCACTTGACTTGCACATGCAAATAGGTGCACATCCATCCCCGGGCAGGCACAAAACCCGTATTTGCAGCAGGGAATTAGGCCTTTTATTGCCCGAGGTGTGTGTGTGTGTGTTCAGTAAGGGAGATCAGTGTGAACACGTACCTGCTGGACTTCATGTCCTCCCTGGTCCCACTCCACACCCCAATGGGACACTTCCAGGAGCAGGTTCCCACATACCGTAAAATCTCAAATATAATGCGCACCGATGTATAATACGCACCCTGACTTTTGAATTTTATCATACTAAAAAGATCCATACTCTTATATAGAATGCACAGCCTGACTTTGACCATTGTACATGTATTTTATGATACCCATCATCATAGATACAAAGGCGTCGTTAAATATAGTCTATTCGTTTGCAAGTCTATGGTATGTCGATGCGTCGTATTTCCTGCCTTTTTGTATTGCCGGTTGATTGCATGTGAGCATACGACTATAGAATACACGGTGTTTATATTCATTAATGTCAGCAATTAATTAACTATAAACTATTTCATACAACAAGTAAGATGTAAATTTCATATTATGTATTGTTTTTAAATATTGTAAGCATTCTAGGAATCTCTGCCATTTCAACTGATGTTGATTTCATGTCTTAGCATGGCATCGGCATAGCGGAGGTTCATCGTCTTCTGACATGGAACTGCCAAAATAAAACTTTAAACAATAACTCCTATATATAATGCGCACTCTGACCTGAAAAAACGTGGAAAAAAAGTGTGCATTATATTCGAGATTTTACAGTAATCCTAAGTGTCTCCCCCTAGATCTACCATAATGCTTTTGCTGTGTATCCCCCAGCCTCGGCAGCCTGGAAGCAGCAGGATGTGTTTCAAGAAGGGCCCAGGACTCTGGAATTTGCTTCCTCTTTATCCTCCAGCACCTCAGTTGGGCAGATCTGGGGGGTCATATAGAGAAGCAGTTCCCAATCGCTGGTTCACAGCCCTGTGCCGGACTGCGAACCGCTGGCTGCTGGGCTGTAGCACAACACCGGACCACACCCATAGGGGCAGGGCTAAGGCAGAATGGGATGGTGTGCGGCCCCATGGGCAGGCAGACAGGAGCGTGGAGTAGGTTGTGCAGAGCTCACACAGTCCTGTGT